ACTGTCCTTCGGCTACTTTAACTGGTAATATTACACATAATACAAACTATTATATAAGATAGAAAAAATTGTTAGACATAATGTTTCATTTTCTTACACTATGTTGAGAAAATAATAATATTTGATTCTGCACTATGTTCAAATGAAAATGTTTTTATATTAATCTTCATAGGTATTACTGAAGAATTTATTACCTCACTGTTTTACTTCTACAGAAGAATCAGCGGACTTTATATAACTAATACTGAATATGCTTTACTTGCAGCAATGGCTGTGCTTTTTTCAGGTAAAAACCATACAGCAAGCAGTAAAAACCTGGATTAAATTTGGGCAATGAAATCATAAAGTTGGTAGTTATTAAATTATCATTTGCATCCAAATGCAATTTTGTTTTACCATAATTTTCTTATTATGGGAGCATTCCTTTAAGCTTATGAACATGTTATAATTTCTTGCATCTTAAAAAAATGCCTTCTTGACCTCACATTCCCATTCATTTTTTCTTCCATTCTTCTGTTCCACTTTATAGAAAAAATATTTTTAATAGGGTTGTCTATGCTGCTGCTTCTATTTGTCTCCTCTTACTCATGAGTTCTCTATGGTCAAATTTAGGTCTGTTCTCTCCACTCCCTAGTAACTGGGATTACAGGTGTGAACCACCATCCCCAGCTGGTATTGCTATCTTTAAGCTGCATAAACCAAAATTGTTTCTTTCTTTTTCTTAGATCCATATCAAATACAAAACAAATCATTTTGGCTAAATCCTCAAAATATATCTAAAACTTAATGATTTCTTACTATCTCTATCTAACACCCTAATCAAAACTACTTTCCTCACTGACTTTCGTAATTCTGTGCTTGCTTCTCTAGAATCTATTCTTTATGTAGAAGCCAGGGGAATTGTTTGAAAATATAAGTCAGATCATTCCTCTGTTGTGTCCTTCAATTACTTCCATTTTACACAGATTAAAGCCACAGTTCTTTCTATTATTGTTTATTGTTATCTCTGCTTTACTCCATCATCCTAGCACATTTCTTTTTTTTCCCCCAGGATGAGTGTAAGAGTAGTATTTATTTAAGTGTGTATATAAACAGAACTCTTTCAGGGTGAGAGGGGACACAACAGAGTTGCCTAGCACATTGCTTTTGACACAGATGTTCCATGGAAATTTCAAGAATTTTCTTGCCACAGGTTCTACTATGCTTGATAAGTCTTTTGCCTGGAAATGTTTTCCTCCAGATAGACATATGACTCCCTCCTTCACCATTTGGAATCTCTGCTAAGTGTCATTTTATCTTTGATCAGTCTTTTAAAAATAGCTACTTTCCCTTCCTGGTGTGGTAGTGCACATCTGTAATTCTAATAGCTCAGGAGGCTGAGGCAGGAGGATAGCAAGTTCAAAGTCAGCTTTAGCAACTTAGCAAGGCCCTAAGCAACTTAGCAAGCCCCTGTCTCAAAATAAAAAATAAAAAGCGCTGGGGATGTGGTTTAGTAGTTAAGCACCCTGGGTTCAATTCCTTAGTACCAAAAATAAATAAACAAACAAAAAAATAAATTGTTATCTCTTTTCCTGTTTATTTCTCTTACATTACATCTGTTATGTTGTATTTTTACTTTTAAAAATATGTATATGCCTCTTTCCTCCCCTACTTCTCCTGAACCCAGAATATAAGCTCAATGAGGGGGAGAAATTTTGCCTATTATGTTCACTGTTGTATCTCTGGCACAATGACTAGATGAATAAATGCTGTCCAAGTACTATGAAATTCTTGGTTGGCACTTATATTTTATAGGCAAGTTCTTAAGAAGCTTTGCTTTTTATTTACTGTTGGTCTTGGGAAATTAATAATTTAAGACTTCAAGTAAGCCCTTGCTTGCTCTTATATTCTTATGTGACTTCATGAAAATCACTTAATGCTCTAAGTTTCAAGATTATCTGAGAAATGATGATAAAAATAGAACTTACAACCCCCCCCAAATATATTTTTTGTAGGTACTAGGGATTAAACCCAGGGTCTCAGGAATGCTAGGTAAGCATTCTACTACTGCGCCTCATCCCTCAGACCTTTAAAAAATTTTACTTTGAGACAGACTGGCCTTGAATTTGTTATCCTCCTGTTTTAGCCTCCTGAGTAGTTGGGATTACATGCCTGTGCCACCAAGCCAGCCCTAATGGAGTATTGTAAAGATTAAATAAAATAATGCACAGAGGCAAGTTACTTACCTTTTAAAAATATTTTTTTAGTTATAGGTGGACATAATATCTTTATTTTTTTATGTGGGGCTAAGGATCAAACCCAGTGCCTCACACATTGCTGAGTGAGTGCTCTACCTCTAAGTCACAACCCCAGCCTGGCAAGTTACTTATCTTAATGCTTGGCATATGTTAAAGGTTCAGCAAACGTTTGTTATTTAAAAACTGCATTGTCTTAAAATGAATTAATTATCTTCTACCACTTTCCAATATACATTAACATGAATATAATAATGTTTTTCAGATCGTCCATGTCTTGAAAATAAGCAACAAGTGGAGAATTTACAAGAACCAATTTTACAAATTTTGTATAAATATTCAAAAATTCACCATGCAGAAAACCCACAGCATTTTGCTCATCTCATAGGGAGGCTAACTGAACTGAGAACTCTGAATCACAACTACTCAGAAATACTTAGCACTTGGAAAACAAAGCACCCCAAATTTATTAATTTATTTTCTGAGAAATGGAATGTGTACTCACATTGCTGAAATTTTACAATGTTGTGGTTTGTCTTGATTTTTCTGTACCTAAATTGGATGACTAATTTGAAAAACATTAACATGACAACTATATTACCAATATATCACCATAAAACGGATATCATCAATACTCATCAAGTTTAGTGAAATCCTTCTATCACTAAATGGACACCTTGGATTCTTTTCAAGATTGGACTCAAAACAAGCAACTCTTATTGTTTCTGCATGGTTTCTCCAAAATAAAATTACTATAAGAGTTATCATCTGAAGAAACTCTACTTTTTCATTTAGTTGAAAATACATAATTTATAGACATAAAAAGGTTATCTAGTGAAAAAGATTGTAATTAAAACAAGTCAATTTCTATCTCATTAATTAATGCCAGATTGATGGAATAAGGAACTAACATTTTAAATGTCTTTGTAAAAAGAGGTCTTTAATAAAGTAAATTGGAAAATTTGTGATGAAAGATACTTAAAAAATCAAAAGAACAGCTCTTTAAAATGTTTTAATTGGGAAATTTAGCATGATTTACTTCTCATTCTGGGAGATAACATTTTAACATTTTTGCTAACATCTTTTGTAGAAACAGTGACTTTTCACAAATATTTTAGTCTTTATAGGTATAGGATGGTAATATGTTAAAAATAAAGTTCACATGAAATACATGAACCAAGAAACTGTGTTGGCATAATTGTTTCCAAAGATTGTAAAAGTGAGTGACACCTGTGACTTAAATAATGATATGACCAGAGGTAGTATTTTGGTTTTCAATAAAGAAAACTAGACCACAGTTAAAATTTTCACTATGTAAAACTTTTTAAAACATTGGAATATTGAATTTATAGTCTTGACTTAAAAGTGTTAATTATATGTATCAATTATTGTCCCTAGGGGTACTTTGTGTATATTATTGGCATCATTTCTTGGAAGGAGTGTCTTATCAAAAGGACATCTAGATGCAGTTTTTAAAAAATGTCAAATGAGGGAGGCAAACCGGATCATCATTTCCAATTGGAAAATTTTATACTTTTATTAGAAACTGTTGTCTAGTAAATTTATACAAAAAGGTTTTTTTTTGTATAAATATTGCTAGGGCTGGGGTTGTGGCTCCGAGGTAGAGCGCTTGCTTAGCATGTGTCACTGGGTTCAATCCTCAGCAACCACATAAAAAAAGTAAACAAAATAAAGTTTTAAAAAGTAAAAAAAAATTGCTAAAGTTCTTTGGAGAAGCATCAAATGATATCTGGAGAAAGTTCTAACAAAGCCAGTATCTTCAAAATGTAATGCATTATCTTATTGCTCAAACCTAGGTACCATGCTAATGAAATCTCTCTTAGCTAAGCCTGCAACCAGGCACTCATGTTTGACTTGTCTCTCTTCTATTAAGACACCATTCGTTTTACTTCCTAAATACCTTTTTCAGATGACACCTCCTCATGTCCACTGCCCTCGTCAGACCCCAGGTCCTCTTGTCACCCAGGCTATTGAAACTGTCTTCCCAAACTCCTAAACCGTTCTTCACAATGCAGATTTTCTTCTGAACCGGATCATACCACCCTTTCCATTCAAAATTCTTCAAAAATTGGGGCTGGGGTTGTGGCTCAGCGGTAGAGCTTTTGAGACCCGGGGTTCGATCCTCAGCACCACATAAAAATAAACAAAGAGACTGTGCTCCTGTATAACTAAAAAAACAAACAAACAAACAAAAAAAAACCTTGAAAATCCCCATCCATGACGTCTAAACCCCAGCGCCTTTGCCCACCGACTCTTAGCCTTCTCTTAGGATTCCCCTCTGGCTCATCTAACCAACTATTCACTCTTTTATTCTCGACTGACGCAATAACAAAACCAGACTCCGGAGCCACCTTCATGACTCTACATAAATCCCACCTTTAAATGCGCGCACAGCCTTCTCTCTCTCTCTCTCTCTCTCTCTCTCTATATATATATATTTGAACCCCTTCTACTTTTCTAAGGTTGTGAGCGCTTAGGGGGCAGGCAGGGCCGCGTCCCTCCCAGCTCGTCTATCCTCGCGCCTGACAGTCTTTCCCAGGCGTCTTTGACAATGGCAGAAGTTTCCAGAACGTCCACTCTTCGAAGGAACAGAATCCCGGAATGAATCATTCCTCGTGAAAAGGGAGATCTCGCGAGACAAAGCTCTGCGACCCGGAAGTCTACTCCGAGGGGGACCGTTATTTAGCCGTTAAACTGCCAGTCGCCGGCCCCGCTCGGTCGGGTGTGGCCGCCCAGGTGGGGCCATTTCCCGCCTTTTCCGAGGTTCGGAGGCGGAAGCTCTTGGTTCTTTCTGCTGCCCTCATAGACGGCAGTTCACGCGGCACCCAGCCCGTGGCCACCCTCTTGTTCTTCAAAGGTGAGGGCAGGTGTGCCGAGTTCCTTTCCCGAGGATGGAACCCGGGGCGAGGGCGACCTGATAATAGGGCGGTTCCCGACTCCGTCAGCCGCCCTGGCCTTGGTGGTGGAGGGCGGGCGGTGCATTTTAGTTGGGGCGCTGAGGAGGGCGCGGACGGGCACCGCCATGCGGGGCTCGGCTTGGTAGCTGGTGTGGGTGGCCGGCGTGGCGGCTGGCGGCGGGGGGCTGGCGGG